TATTATATATATATATATATATATATATATATATATACATATATATATATACACCACAGAGTATGCTACCAGCGGTCTTGCGGAACACCCCGTCTCTACAGTAAGCATTATTGTGCAATCAGTAAATAGTGTGGGTTTGAGGCAAAGCTACCTGACCAGGCAACATCTGACACAGAGTAAGATCCCATTATTAGTGGTAAAAAACAAGGGTTGCTGAAAATAAAAGCATAAATAAATAAAAATTGATAAGACTTACCCCAATCAAAGTTGAATAGACATGTGTAGAATTGCCATGGGAGAAGAAAAGATACCCACCTGAGGAAGATACAACCAGATAATGTAGATAATGAGTATTGAAGGTACTGGGAGTAGTCCACACACTGTCCTGAGCAATCTCCTCCAAAGGATGTCGAAGGCAAGCAGCCAAATACATGATAATATGACAAATTTGAAGAGAAGAAACATTATGGAGATGGCACCCTTCCATGAATAAGTCTAAATACACCAGCCTAACAAGTTAATGAACCCAACTAAATATAATGATAGGGGTTAGATCATGGGAAGTGTTTTAGGGAATAAAAAGTCGAGGACATAACACTGTAAAGAGCGAATTGGACAAAGAAGCCAATTGGGATTAGAATGCAAGTACAGGTGGGAGATGGAAGGTAAGAAAATATATGTGAAAGCCAAACCACCTTCACAGGCAGAATAATTCTTACAAAGGAGAGATCAGTCAGGATATAGGATGACATAAAAAGAATGGTTGAGGATGCTGGTAATGTAAATGGCATAAATACCTGATCAATGACATCTGCAAGCAAGGAGGAAAAGGAAATAAGTCTTGAAAGAGAGAAAGTTCAAAGGAAGGATGAGAAAGGGCATAAAGAACCACAGTGAGACATCAATCAGATACAAATGAAAGTGTACAATGCATGACTCAAAATGAGCTGAAAAAGAGGGAAAATGACATAGGAAGACAAAAACCTAATGTAACTTGGAGAAATGGAAGGTGTTCAACAGGGCTGCCTGATAGCTAGACATGGTCAAAGCAGACAAGCCTTTGCCAAACAACCAAGCGATGAATTGGGAAAAATGAGGAATAGAAGGAAGACCAAAGGAAGAAGGTAGACCATCGTCTTTGGTAAACAGACAATGGAGAAGATCTGATTGATCGGGAATAGAAAGATGCAATATGTGGAGTCAGTCCCTGGATTGAGGCAATGAACCTGAAACTTATTATTATAAGCCAAATATTGAACAATGAAGAAAAAAAAATATTTGGATAGAACACTGAATGATACATTTTCGAATTAAGAAAATGTTATTCCCAATAATACTTACTTCCTCTTACACTACAGCTATTACTCAACTGCCACAGTTTCCTTCCTTTGCCCATCTAAACATTGGTCCGAATTTTTTTCACTTGCTTCAGTCATTTATTTCCTACTTAATTGCTCTTGGCAATAATCTGTCATATTACACTCTCCACCTACATCAATGTGCCCTCTATCCTGGTACTGTATATAAGTACCTCCTTCAGATAATATTATCAGTTTTTCAAGACTGACCCACTCTGCAGTCTTTAACACTGGCTCTTAGTGGAGAGGAAAACATTAACTACAAAACGTTACTCACCTCCGCTTACACTACAGCTAGAATCCTACATTCATAAGGTGGAAAGGCCAGTGAGGGCATTAACCATACAGAGTGTCTGCATAGATCAGAATGTGCCAACAGAAAATTAGCATCCTAGTGGTGGAACTGCACTACATCCAGAAAAGATATGGACTTCATCCGGAACTTATTTCATGTACTGTGGGTGGCATATATATATATATGTACTGTGGGTGGAAGACATATATACATCTACTTGTGAGTGGATCCCAACCTGTAGCCATAGAGTGATGCATTCCAAGCCAACACCCCAAACTCAGAATGACGGGATCCTGTATGCTATACTTAATCTGAGGAAACTCATCTGGTCTGGAGTTATGAACACTCATCCTCACTCCCCAACCAATCAGTAAGGAAAATTTTTCTTGTCTCTGGAATTATGGGAAGGATGAGGAACAAGCTGTCCTCAACCAAGGACCCAAGATGGGATCACTCAGCATTCGGAATTATGAGTAGATAATGGACTATCTTCCATAAACAATGTACTGAACCAATATTGATCAAAAAGAAAGGCCATGCTCAACCCAACCAGATAGCTGAACATCATAGCTGAACTGGTATTACAAGTAGGCTCCCTCTCCTACCAATATCTGGGGAAAAAATTTCCAGGGTCCAGGGTAGGAGGGCCCCTAACTTCACCCTCTTCTTCAAGAGTGGAGGAATTCCTTGAACACTTTAGAGAAATAACCTCTGTCCCCCACCCCAGTGACTGGAAACTGAGTGTGGTAAGGACTCCCTAGCTCTACTAGTAGAATCTGGGAGGTAATGTGCATTGGGGAGCCCTGAGGAACAGTGCTCTTGAAACGGTGCAATAGGTGAACCAAGTTCCCTAAATTTTAAAATGCAGACCAACCCCGATTTATTCAATCCAATGATTGGCATGAACAGGCAGGATCCCCTTATGCTTTACTCATGATAGTCCATGAGTGGTGGTCCAACATAGTACAGTAATACCACCTGGTCAGCCTCTTGGTGGTC